TGGTAGGAGTGCCCCTAGCGATCGAGTTAATTTGGATCGATTAAGAGTGAACAAAGAAGAAGAAAAAAGAAAGTTAGAGCATTAGTTAATGAATTCTCAAAAAGAAGGTATGGATTTCTTCCAATGATAATTTGGATGGATAAGTGAGCAAAATTTTGATATTGTGAATTTAGTGAGGTAGAATTTATGACAGTTTTGTAGATAAATTTACTGCGCAGTTATCCTCAAGAATTCATTTGAATGTTTTCCCGATTGAACTGTTAGCTGAAATTTGAGATGAGTAAATTAGACTTAATGAATAAGATGCTCAAAAAATTTCATCAAAAAATTCTACCGGGAACTGCCCCAAATGGCGACAGCCGGACAAAGCCTCCTATATAAGGACTTATTTGACCTTTTTATGTAAGTTTGAGGGCCTATTTGACCCTTTTCCCAAAACCTATTTATACAGTTTTCTAACATAATTAGGGGTGTTCTTCCATCTTTGTCCCGGGTCCACAAATTGTAAGGACATGACGTACTTTAAGTGTGTCGCCCCATTTGGATTTTAAATACTCTGTATTAGCCCTGTAAATTCAGAGTTCCTATATCCTACACCCGGATGTACGTACATCCAGTCCAATTAAATTAAAAGCCCATTAACAGATAGAGAAATGACACGCTCATCAACAATCCTGGTCCGGCAAAACTCCAATAGCTTCCTCCAGGAGAACGGCGGTGGCAACTGCACCGTCAACCCACAGCCTCAATTTCGATTCCTATGATTTTCTCCTCATCGCCAACATAATAAGACGGCAAGAGATGGATGGATTCTTCACCGGCGGTGTCTCCATGATGCAAAGTAGAATTCGGTTTTGGCGGAAGTGTTTTACGATGAAAAAGTAAGATTCAGATCGAAGATCGAAAAACAAATCCACCATTTTTCAATTTGCTTCATACCACACGCTGCCATTTTTTGGTTAATAAACATTTGTACTATGTAGCCACTTTTTGGGAAAAAGTCAATAATTCATGTTTTTCAATTTTGACTTCTGGGCTATATCCGTGTGTATGTACTATGCAGCCACTTTTTTTTCTATGACATTTTTATAATTTGAGTGAAAAATCACGGCTTCCGATAAATGAGCAATAATGTACTTTTAGTGAGCATTGTACATATTTTATTGAGTATTAAGAGGCTAACAATGAGTATCACGATCTCTGCTACATATCTTCAATTTGTTTTCTTTTTCTTTTTTCTTTTATTAAAACTTATTAAATTATATCTATAATCCACTCTTATTAATTTCAATATGCGAGTCTAATGTTATATGATACTTCTAAAATATGCATTGATATTACATTGTAAATTAAATGAGCATAATATCAGTACCAAATGAGCATACATAACTTACAAAGTGCACATTGATATGAAAATCATAAAGTTTGTTGGTTGAAATATTACGACATTTTAATTGAGCATCAAACATCCGATATTGAGATGAAAATCACAGTTTCTGGTGAATGAGCATTAAAGAACTTTTAATATGCATTGATATTACATTGTAAATTAAATGAGCATAATATCAGTACCAAATGAGCATACATAACTTACAAAGTGCACATTGATATGAAAATCATAAAGTTTGTTGGTTGAAATATTACGACATTTTAATTGAGCATCAAACATCCGATATTGAGATGAAAATCACAGTTTCTGGTGAATGAGCATTAAAGAACTTTTAATGAGCATCAAACCTATTATGTGGAGTATTAGGATTCTAATATGCAGAATCGTGATCTCTGCTTCATAACTTCTGATTCACTTTCTTTTTGTTATTTTTTTCTTTCATAAAAACTTAATAAATAATATGTATAACCAACTCATATGAATTTCAATATGTGAATCTAATGTAAAATAGTACTTTTAAAAAATGCATTGATATCCATTTAGAAAATGAGCATACATATATACTTACAAAGTGCACATTGATATGAAAATCGTATGTTTGTTAGTTGAACATCACGACATTTTAATTGAGCATCAAATCTCGGCTATTGAGATAAAAATCACGGTTTCTGGTGAATGAGCATTAATGAACTTTTAATGAGCATTAGACCTATTATTTTGAGTATTGGGAATCTAACATTCAGAATCGTGATCTAAGCTTCGTAACTTTTAATTCACTTTCTTTTTTGCTATTTTTTCTTTTATAAAAACTTTTTAAATTATATTTAGAATCAACTCCTATGAATTTCAATATGTGAATCTAAAGTAAATGAACATTAATACACTTTTAATGAACATAATACTTATTCTGTTGAGCGTAAGTTAGTTTCATGAGCATTGATTTGACATTTTAAAATGAGCATAACAGCAGTCTCGAATGAGTATACATATATTATAAAATGAGCATTTAAAAATTCAAAAGCTCATTAAAATCTCTGATATGTTCAAATATTCATTTGCGTAACAAAGAGAAATATAATAAATTATAGCAATATGCATGAGTATTATAGCAATGAGCATACATATATAATGAAATGAGCATAAAAAATTCAAAATGCTCATTTAAAATATGTATTATGCTCAAATTTTCATTTGTGTATCCTCATATCAATAAATGTATTAACTTCTAATACATTTATTAGAAGTATATGTATTTGTGTACCTTAAAACATATTAATGTATATATATATATATATATATATATATGTATCTTATACACACAAAAATACAATATTACTTATCATATTTATGCAAAATATAAATAAAAATGCAATTTTTATGTTTCCGACTAATCCCCGACTAGGCGCCCGCCTAGGCGCTAGGCGTTGGGCTGACGTCCAACTAGCGCCTAGCGCCTTTTAGAACATTAGTATGTACACATAAATATCGCATTTTTTATATAAATATAAATACAAGATTTGAAAATAAATTTAAATATATTGTTTTAGTTTATACGGAGTATTTTTTTTATTTGTAAAGCTATATTTATTTTTATATTTATTTATATTTATATTTATATAAAGTTAAATAAATTCTTTTAGTTTATACGGAATATTTATTTTCTTTTGAATACTCCGTATAAATATTTCATACTTATATTTTATATTTTCAACTAGTATTCTATTTTATTTTTATATTTTCTATTTTTTATTTGGGTTTTTTTTACAAGAATATTACCTAAAATAAAACTTATTTACATAATGGCTATTCATTACTACAACGTAGTGTTGTGGTAACTTAAGTTCAAAACTTGAACATGAATTATGATGATTTCATTACTATTCTAGTAACTTATTCATATTTTTGTAAATCATCTCTATTTTGATCATATTTATGTAATCATTTCTTTTTATTTTTTTATTTTTCATAATTTAGACATTTTTAACGGTTGAGAAGGTGAATTGAACATTTGGTCAAATTCAGGGATTTATTTGACCCTTTAAGTTGCCATAGTTGATAGTTGGCACCTTACCGGCCGGTAACGCGACGGTGACTTGATTGTAAATTGAGAATTTCAAATGAGTGCATAATACTTCCTCCGTTCTTAAATAAGTGCAACAGTCAACATTTCACACTTGCCGAGGCACTACTTTGACCATTAATATATATAATTCTCCATTAGTAAAAAATTTTAAAAAATCAATTTTTTGAAATTTACAATGAGACAAATTTAATAATATATTTTTCAAAAATATATATTAATACATCAATAAATAAAATGTAGTCAAAGTAGAACATGTGAATAGTGTAAAATTTCACATGTTGCACTTATTTAAGAACGGAGGTAGTATATTTCAACCCGATGTCCCGATCTTTACGACTTCACTTGACTTTACATACACAAGACCCAACTGTTTCAATTTATTTTGATTTTTTAAGCAATCCAAAAGAAGAAGTGTAACACATTCATGGGCAATTCGTATGTTATACAATCAATGCTACCATGTGAATACTACACCCATGTGATGTAGTGGACATTTGTCCCAGTACAAAATGAGCTTTTTCAAATGAACAACAAGCCTTTTAAAATATTAAACAAAGCTTGTATTAAATGAAAATTGTGTAAAAATTATTATTTTGATATCATTATTTTGTTATTATGAAATGAGAAAACACTAAATAAAATTACAAAAATCCCTAGAAGTTCTCGAACTTGAATTGAGCAACACATTCTTCGTATGTATTGGACTTATTTATAAATATTGGACTTATTTATAAATATAAATACTTGTGGATGATACCTGTATGCATGAACTGATACGCGTATCTAACCCTATAACCTTTATTTCATACACGACATGACGAAAGTTGAGTAGTCTCCCAAGCGACCACAAGATGTGGAACATTGGTAAAGATGATTTCGGATGTATGAAAAATATTAGAATATTGTAATTTGCATATTTATCGCTTGATGAGCTTTAATTGAAATGATTATTGTTAAAAGACTTAGATGTAAATGCAAATAGAAAACCAAAAATATTATTTGAATTTAAATTGAAATATCAGTATTTTGTTTTTTAGTCTAATCTTTGAAATTTTATTATAATTGTTAATCTTTGGTACTATTATTATTATTATTTTATTTATGAACTTCTGAATTATATATATGTGCAAATTATACCACACGAGTATATTATTATTTATAAATAAACCCTTATACATGTATCCTATAATTTTTCATGTTATCGTATCGCTGTACTCGTATTAGCGTATTGACGTATCCGTGCAACATAGCACAAAGTCACCCCTTTTGGTTGTGAACATTTTATTCACAGATAAATAAATAAAATAACTTCACGGAACGCATATGGCATTGGCATGTGTATGAAAATTGCGTGCACAAACAATTACTCCCTCCGTCCCATTTATATTGTCCTGTTTTACCTTTTCGGGAAGTCCCACTTAAATTGTCTCATACCATATTTGGCAAAGTTTGTGTGGCTCTAATTCATTCTTACTTTATTCTTACTTTATCAATTAATATCAATCACACAAACTCACTTTTCTTAATAATTGTGTCACCCTCTTCCATTCCAATATAAATGGGACGAAGGTAGTATTTTGTAAGAAAATGCATTTACCTAACTTAGTTAGATTTCTACCGTATCATTTTATATTGGGCTGAAATATGTTTGAACCCTGCAACATTTTAAATCAAATGACAATTTTTTAGTAAAAGACCGAAACTAAACTCAAACAAATTGAACCAGTCAAATTGTGGTTTCAAATTTTGAAATGTAAAACAGAAACCGAAATTGAACAGAACTTTTTACTTTGATTCGATATTTGGTTTTTGATCAAAACCGAACAAAAAAAAACTAAACTCACCCCGTGCATTAACAAAAGAAGAAAATCTTTGGTGAAAGCAAAGATAAGATCAAAGAATTTCTAATATTAGCCTTTGACCTCCTTCAAGCAACAATCTTTCTTGGTCTTTTTCCATTTGTAATGTGTGTGTGTCTATAAATATGCAAGTATACAAACTTCACTAGCTCCACTGTGAGCTCATCATGCACTAAGCCGTTAAGTGCACTTCTTTCTTACATCTTTCCATCTTTGTAGGTCGCCTCCAGGTAATTATAACAGCTAATTGCAAATATTATTGGGTTTTTGCCTATCTCATACGAAATTTTAGATGACCTGTTTTACTAATTGTTTGGTATTCATTCAATATTTTCCTATTTCAATATGTTCTTTGTGACTTTGTTCCATTGACCTTAGATTCTTAACATTCTTAGCTTCTCAAAGCTTAGCATGTTTCTGGGTCAAATTGAACATCTAAAAACAAAAAAACAAAAACAGGATAAGACTTTGGATTAGTAGTTAGTACACATTAATCAAATACATAGCATAAATCATAAACGTATGTAGTAGTACTCTTCTCATCAAGTTGACATTTTGATCGGTGTCACAATCTATTAAGCTTAAATGTTTGATATAATCCTTGTAATCCTAAAAAACTAGCACACTTAAAATCTTGCAGGTCATGTTGAATTGGGTCATCCCATATTAAATTAAATAGATATACAAATACAAACCAAACCCAAGCCTTAAAATGGAGAAGTGTGTTTTTCTGCATGTGTATGTTTTAAGTAAACTCTATAGGATAGTTTCACTTACAAAGTAACTGCCTTAGCACTTTTGTAGCAGTTAAATAGGATAGGGCTGGTGGGAAAGCAATGGATTCAGCTCCATCCCTTTTGGGCATCCTTAGTTTCTTTCTTTTGAGGATTCTTACCTTAAACCAATGTTATGGAACCACAGTCGATACACAGCTAGCATTTTTCCATGTGGATGCCTCAGAAGCATCAGCAAAGAAAATACCAAACACTTTGTTCGGTTTATTCTTTGAGGTAAGCCGTTCGGATCGATTCATATTACTACTACTACTTAATTAATATGATTCAGGTGTAATCTTATTAGTTCATATATGCATTTTCATTGGTGTATGGTGAATAATATATGGTTGTATAACATTTGCTTACATTTTTAGCACCTGCGACTTTTGTTCCTTCGGACTTGTCTGGAGTCCCTGGTCTAATTCATCAGTTCTAGAATTCATAATTGATTGAGTAGAGTAGCGCAATTTGGTCATAAGATACACATTTGGGCAAACCATATTAAAAGATTGAATCATATCAATTTCCTAGTCTGACTCAATATATCAATGTCATCTTTAGTATTTAGATGTCAGACTCTTAACATGCCCTAATTCTAAGAAAATGTTTGATTTCAGGAAATTAACCATGCAGGTGCTGACTTAAAATCATTGCTTATAATGATTTTCTTTATCTTGATTACAATATGGTACAACCCAGGTCCAGCACTTGATAAATACAGGAGAATCACTTTGAATATAAGTTTCCACCTAAATCCACTAAAAATGAGGCCTTATGAAAGATGTCCAAAAACAAATCCTTGAGAGCTTAGCCCAAAGTGGACAATAGGATACTAATGTGCAGCTATGTTTAAGTAATTCTCAATTGTACTTCTAATCCAAGGGTCTATGCTTGTAAGATTGTTTTGATAATATTAAATTAATTTCAATTGTTTTGGGAAACTTGATTTCAGGTTTTGAAGCAGGGGGTCCGAATACACCCTCCAACATTGATCCTTGGTCGATCATTGGGGATGAGTCCTCTTTGACGGTCTTCACGGACCAGTCTTCTTACTTCGAACGGAATAAAATTGCACTTCGGCTAGATATTCATTGCAGCGATAAGGGTGCTAAAACCTGTCCGTATGGGGGAGTTGGTGTTTACAATCCTGGATTCTGGGGCATGGTGAGATACCTAGCTTGTGGTCACATAACTAGGTCATAATTCAAGTAGGCACACTACAAGATTGAATCCAATAGATTAGCCAGCGTAACAAAAGAGTCCTTAATATCCAATGGGGGACTACTATCCACGACCACGTGTACTCATATTTCTCTTGTTGATTACCTTTTGTAGAACATAGAGGAAGGGAAGAGTTATAAACTTGTGTTTCATGTCCATTCACTTGAAAGCCTTAATGTCTCAGCATCACTGACTACATCAGATGGACTGAGGAAGTTGGCTAGTGCCGAGATAATGTAAGCAAGATTTAATATGGTTTTTGATCAAGTATCAATGCTGCCTCTCGGAACGTACAAGGTGTTTAACTTATTTCTAAAATGCAGTTCTGGTGATGTTTCAAATTGGACAAAGATGAAGGTGGTTCTGGAAGCAAAGGGAACGGATCACAATTCCAGACTAGAACTGACTACAACAAAGAATGGCGTTATATGGTTTGATCAAGTATCATTGATGCCTCTCGATACATACAAGGTTTACATGCCTCCCAATTTGTTGAATGAGAGTTTAATATTCATTAATTGAATGAGGATAAACAAAGTTTGATTTTCTAGTTATGCCATATGGTTAATCCACATTTTATCTTTCACTATTTCTCTATGCAATTAGGGACATGGTTTCCGAAATGATCTGTTTGGAATGATTAAAGAGTTGAAACCGGCATTCCTCAGATTTCCAGGTATATCTTATTTTAGATTGTTTTACATTGAAGCTCTACAAATTTAGACTTAAGGGTTCTATTATTAAAGGGTTAGTCAAATCACTAAACTAGCCCAAAGCCTTATATAGTTAGAGTAACCCAAAGTCTTATATGTGAGTTTGTATCTCTTTATATGTAGATAGAGTAGGAGGTCATAACAGCACATATGCTCTTTCAAGAAAGATAAAGGTGAGAACAAATAGCAATAGGAATGACCAATCAAAACAGTAATAGTATTGGCTTGAACAAGATAAAGTGAAATTAAGGACTAGAAAGACAAAAAGGAAAGGTCCATTTATAACTAGAATTACTAGATATTAAATTGTATTTACATTTTTTCATATTTACTTAGTCTGTTATCTATGTTAATCTGCTTGCACCAACTAACTGTACCTATATGACAGTTGTGTGCATTTTCTCATCTTTCATGTATGCCTCAGTGGCTCAAACATGGTTTGAGTTTATCAAATTGATTAAAGTACATTTGTGGTTTGTAGGTGGATGTGTTGTTGAAGGTGAGTGGTTAAGGAATGCATTCAGGTGGAAAGAAACAATCGGACCATGGGAAGAGAGGCCGGGGCATTTTGTTGATATTTGGCGTTACTGGACCGATGATGGTTTTGGCTACCATGAATTTCTTCAGGTAATCAATATCAATATAGCAAGAACATAATCAAACACATCAGAAAAATGTTTTTTTTATACTTCTTGAAATTTGAATTTCTACAAGTAACAATGTTCATTTTGTGTCCACCAGCTTGCAGAAGACTTGGGTGCACTGCCAGTATGGGTCTTCAACAATGGTATGGCCATTGCTTACCACCTCAACGTGGGTGGATTACCAGTTTCTTCATATTTTAAGGCCCTGGACAATTTTTTCTTTTTACCTAAACAAGGTAAAATTTATTTTTTATTTGGACAAACACATACATGTTGTGGGCCTCAAAAACCACGTTGGGTCTCCACACTTCAATTGACCTACTGTTGTAGTTTGAACTAGATACAGCTAATGGACTCAGAAGTGTTGCCCCCTAGTTTTTGGAGGTCCGTGATGGTTACCCATACTGCCTGTGTAGCAATCTGGCATGACCGGCCCAAATCATGTTCTAGCACTATCTATAACATGATTTGACTCTAGTAGAAAGATGAATGATGATATAAGAATTCACCCTCTTTTCCCAATCTCATTTTCAGGATTCAGCCATAATGAAGAGGTTAACACGTCAAACATCCTACCATTTGTGCAAGTAGGTTAATTAAAGGTTAATATACGATTCAGGTGGTATTTTGCCAACTTAATTATCTCACCTCTGTTGATACCAAATGCTATTTAATTTTTAACAGGATATATTAGATGGTATTGAGTTTGCCAGAGGCGATCCCACCTCAAGATGGGGTTCCGTTAGAGCTGCATTGGGTCACCCGAAGCCCTTTGATTTGAGATATGTTGCAATAGGAAATGAAGACTGCGGGAAGTCGAATTACCGTGGTATGCACACTTTTTGTAAATTATCTAATATCAGCCTAACTCACCCAAAAAAGTTCTCAACATATAAGGATGTTTTCTTTTGGACTGAAATTTGTTGATCTGGTCTGGACTGGATCTGGTAAACGTCTGGTCTCTGTGTATTTTATAACTATGGAATTCTTGTCTAGTCTGGTTTGGCCTGATCTGGTGTGGGACTGAAAACAGTCCAAAAAAAAAACATCCTAAGATTTACCTCATAACTTCTATACTAGTCAAAAATCTCACAAGCATATCACGTGTGATACTTTGTTACAACTATGCTTCGTGTAAACAGCAATGTGTACACACCATTTTACACGCCGGGTAATTGTTTGTATACAAACAATTACTTTTCTTTTTGTGAAGAGACTTGTGTGGAACACCGACAATATTTTTTGTCTCTATCACAAACAAAAAATATTGTCCGTGTGCCACACCATTCTCTTCACAAAAAGAAAAAAATTGTTTGTATACAGAGTTATAGACGATTACCCGACGTGTACAAACAACATTTTTGTAACAGTTAACACGCCTCTTGGTACAATCCGTACTTGACTAGACAATTTCAGGTGGATAGATAGGTCAAATCGACTTTAAATGGACTAATCTAATTATCTAATTATGGGTATGTAGTCAAATACAACAACACACAACCATATGAGGCCTTTGATGCCATATTAAATTTGGGCCTAACTAACCCTTTAAAAGCAATGTTTACCTCATAAACAGCTGATGTTTAAACATTGATGTGAGACACTTGAACATCTTATATGAGACACAACATTTAAACACACATTTCTCAGCCCAAATTGTGCTAGAGACAACATCAGCTATGGGTAAATTAGCCAAACCATTCAAAATAGGAAGTACACATTGATTAAAATAGTTTCATTGTTTCAAGATAGTTTTTTGATAATATGAGTTGGATCTGATCATATGAGTTGGAACCAGCTTAGTCTTTTCTAGATCAGATGGCAACACAATTTTTTCACATTTAAACACCACTATTGTTCCATGATTCAGCAAACTACCTCAAGTTTTACTCTGCAATCAAACAAGCCTATCCAGATATTAATATAATATCGAACTGTGATGCCTCTTCCCAACCTTTGGACCATCCAGCTGATTTATATGATTATCATGTAAGCTACTCACTGATGCTCTTTTCCTTTCTACCATATAACAAATAGTTGGAAATACCTCAAATGTAACACTTATTTACGTGGCATTTATGTAATTAGATTTATAGCAATGCAAGTCAGGTCTTCTCTTTGGACAACAAATTCGATCATGTGTCACGGAGTGGTCCAAAGGTATGTTTATAGATTTCTCACTTCTGAGGTTGCTTCAAATTCTGAGTGGTCGGTCAGAATCCAATATTTTTATGTTTATGCATGTAGGCTTTTGTAAGTGAGTATGCTGTGACTGCCAAGGAAGATTGTGGCAATGGCAGCCTTTTAGCTGCACTAGCTGAAGCCGGGTTTCTTATTGGAGTTGAAAGAAATAGGTATATGTTTTTTTTTTTCATATTTTCCCTTTTAGGTGTGACTGAAACTAAAAACGAGTAAGGTTTTAAGGTATAAATAAGGTTTGGGTTAATAGCATCTACTACTTAGAGTGTGCAAAATTAACAAAATGCAACTCCTCAAGTTTTCTCAAAATTAACAATTTCCACAAACAACTCTGATAGTTTATATCGAATGTAATGAAAGCAGAACTTTGTTTAATGGAATAATTTACCCTTAAAATATTTTCGAAAGATACTTCTTACAACAAAGCTTTAAAGTTTAAACCTTTACTAGATGAAGAGAAGTACTGCTCCAATTTCAATATGAAGACACATATTTGTTAATTTCACCATATTGTGTAATCTTCCAGTGTTAAAAGGACCGCTCACGGAACATCTGACTGGTCAAATGGCTTATTCTGTAATATTAAAAAAACCTCGAGAGTTAGTTTGTACTTTGTAGTTTGACTAAACATCGGGGGATGTAGGAGTAGTAAAACGATAATATTGAAGTGGAAAAAGGTTCATGTTATGACAGTCGAAGGATTTGAAAACCTTGAGGTCACTTTGTACTTTGAGTCTTTGACCCAACCTCAGCAAATGTACATGTAGTTAAACCAAATATCTTTGAAGCAAGGCCCTGTCTATAACATTGCTTCTTCTTATTTTGTTCATTTTACTTCCATGCAGTGATGCTGTTGGAATGGCAAGTTACGCACCTTTGTTTGTGAATGAAAATGACCGGACGTGAGTTGTTAGCCTTTACAATGGCATCCTTATCTACTTTAAAATGGTCTTACCAAATTTGTCTTTCTTTTAGGTGGAGCCCAGATGCGATCGTTTTCACTTCTTCACAAGCATATGGAACGCCGAGTTACTGGATGCAGCAATTCTTCCGCGAGTCAAATGGAGCAACTCTATTGAACTCTACCCTCATCTCTAACCTTTCAAGCTCTCTTCTTGCTTCTGCTATCACTTGGCAAAACCCTGATGATAATCATGAGTATCTTAGGATTAAGGTTTGATTATTTGCACGCGATAATGTGATACTGGATTTTTTTTAAAATTTCTTTACAGGGTATATCCAGAAGAGTAGGGTGTTTTAAATGTGATTTTCCTTGCAAAATTTCAATCAGCATTTAACTCCTGAATTAAAACCTCTTTTGTAAGAATTGAAAAGGTTGAATTTGACTGAATCTATTTGAGATGAAGGTATAGGTGAAATTGTTGACTTATCTAAACAATCTATTTAGATATATCTAGTTAAATAAACCAAAGCAAATAATATAAATATTTTTAGGTAGAAGTATCAATTCCAGCCATTTTGTCCAAAAAGGGAACCCGTACACTTCCTTTAACATTTTGGAGAAAATTTCCTTTTTCTAATAAACTGTTAGGGTGTTTCATGGCCCCTACCCCAAAAAACCTTTCGGTTTTAATACCGGATCCAAAAAAATTAAAAATTAAAAAAATAGTGTTTGGAGAAAAACTAGCTGATAATTCAAATATGGAGCCTACCGAACAGGCTTATAGTGTCTGGGTGACGTTTTATTTTCCATTTCTTATTTTCATTATTTAACACTTGGTTCATCTTATGCACAGGCAGTCAATTTTGGGGCCAGCAATGTGACTCTTAAAATCACTGTAGATGGACTTGAGCAGAACTCCAAACAGTTATTGGGATCAACAAAAACTTTGTTAACCTCTAGTAATGTACTGGATGAGAATTCCTTCACTGAGCCTAGAAAGGTATGGTCATCATTTCTAGCTAGCTGCATTCATTGGTAAAGATTCTTCTGCACGTCAGTTCAAATGGCAGACATGGAGTTAGCACCGATATAAAACAACCAACAAGCATTATGCCATTATGTGGTCGGCTAGTGGTGGCAACGAGTCAGTTCTCATTCCAGACCGGTGGTTTCTGGATACATGGAAGGGGGTAATAGGAACCTATTGGTCAATTCTGGTCCTATTCTGGACAGAAATTGAGAGCATTAGCTGACCTCAATGAACCAATAGAAAAGCTTAAGGCATTAGCTGGACTTCATTTTCAGTCATTTATATTGCTGTATTACATCTATAACACATTCTCACGTGTGGACCGGTACTCTTTGATGTGTCAAACAGAGAGACTATGCGCAAACATATTTTTAATTTTGAGTGGCAGAGATGTTTTGAAATAGAACATTTGACCATCAAAACGCAACCCGCTATGTTTACTATTACTACTCAACAGAATTTATCTCCTTAACAAAACAAAAAAAAACTAATCATTCCTTTGTCACAATGTTTGTGAATTCTAGTAATCGATAATTGATATTTTCAATTTTGGGTGTTGATGCAGGTCGCACCTACGAAAAGCTTGCTGCAAATGGCCGGTGAGAAGCTGGATGTCATGCTCTTTCCACATTCCCTCACTTCGTTAGACTTCTTACTAAAGCCGACCAGAATCAGGACTCTGTAATCTGATTCTGACCATAAATCTTCATACTGAGAAGGGCTGTGCTGTGTATATATCTGGCCAAAAAAGAAGAGAATAAAACAATGAATAAATATCAATATGTAATGTTTTCTCTCTGCACAAACTACTTATGGTGATCCTTGTTTCTACTTTCATCATCATCATCATTATCCCAGTGCCGCAAAGGCTCTCACCTTCGGTGGGGTAAGGGTGGGTCGGATGTACGCAGTCTTACCCTTGTACTAAAGCACACAAAGACTGTTTCAGGATGACCCATGGTGAAAGTCGCGTCGAAAATTGCACAAGATTGCTTACAGATAGTGGGAAAAATCAAACAAACAAACATTTATAAAAAAAAACTGCTCATTTATTTGAAAAGGAGAAGACCTGCTAACACTAAATGATCCATCAACAGAACCATCTGAACAACAACATCGGCTGATAAAATAACAATTTCAACAGAGTTCAACAATTTTAGCTGATAAAATGAACTGAACCAGCTAAACAACAATTTCAACAGAATTCTAAGACTCGCCCCTGATATAAAATAAGAATGCATAAACAAGCTTCTTACTGATTTGAAACAAGTAAGAGATGACTTCAAACTAATGCCCTTGACACTATTATGCACATAAATCATCTTCTCACTGCCTGCGCAACATAAAATTTAAAAGTTTAGAGTATGTGATGTTATAACCAGTCTGAGTTCCGTTACTTCACACACCGTTTACATAGAAAACCAATTTGGGTCGATTTCCAATAAGAAGCAGCAAAATCAATCTTTTATACTCAAATTTATGGTCCAAAATCCACGAAGATTCAAAAGACGAAGCACATAAGAAACGGTAAAGCTTAAAAGAAGCTGAATGGCTACCAAAACTCAAAGTTTGTCACAACGAAATATTCCGAAGATCAAAACAACGTATCAGTGCACGGCACCTACCTGGAGAATGAATCAAAGCTGTGCGTGTATCCTTGAGCTGCGTGTCCGAAAGGGCCATGCTAATCTTCTTTCGACCATTCCAATTTTATCGAATGTCCCCGAAGATGAGGGCCTTGGCCGGTAGCGTATGGCGCGTCGCCGACGTGGGGATGAGGTAACTCGCCTGAAAGTAATCATTTTTTATTTTTTGTGTTAATAAGAAATATAACTCGCTTGTAAAGAAATATAACGCACGTTAATAAGAAATCAGAAATGTCAATGCAAGCAAATCAAAATGTAACTTATCTAAAACGTTGATTTCAATGTAAATACTAAAAAACGGAATCTAATACGGAATAGTTAAATAATTTTACCTTAATGGTGAATATGTTTTGTTTTTAATATTAAAACCATAAAAGGTTCCTCAAAAAAAAAAAAACCATAAAAGGTTTTAAAGAAATCAATTTCCCCCAATTGTTTTTTGCAAAAAAAATGATTAAAATGTAAACCGCGAGTTATAAAATGTAACTTTAAGTATTTGAAAATGTAAACTGAGAGTATGTAAAATGTAACTTGAGAAAATTTGAATTTATAAATTGTGCTAATGAAAATGTAACTCCAGCTAAATAAAAAATGTAAATCCATTTGACTTAAATGTAACTTGAACTGTATGAAACTGTAAATGGTTTTAATAGATGTGTAACTCGAGCCCAAATGAAAAAACTTGAGGCCAAAATAGAAAATACAATACGTGGGATTAAACTAGGCATCTAAATGGAGTTTTAATTTCCACCTCGTGAACGTCTTCACCAAATCAGTGGACTCCGGGCGAGACAATAATGGAGGTCAGCGAAGGATCTGATTTTGCGGCGCGGCGCTCCAGATGAATAGCAATTGCAGAGGGCGGAAACTTACTGTTTCGACGCATAGTAGAAACGTGGCAGTTTCAGATGCACAACAAGGTCAAAGATCGGAGCCCATCAATTCCAGATGCGGAACAATACCAGATGCGAGACTCCCGTAGAACTAAATCAATGGAGTCTCTATTTGAGTGGGAGTGGTGCAAGACAATTCCAGATGCGGGAGTATTTGTTTTAATTGAAAAGCGGTGTCGTTTTGGGATCGGTACACCGTGCTCACGGTGTAACGATCCCACGGGATAATTTGCGGTGTAGGTGGGTATATTTTCATACGGACGAATAATTAATGGGAATGGCTAGGGGCGGGAAAAACATAACCCTAACCCCGAAACCGACCCTGGACCGACCCGAATTATGATCCCGGTTCGAGTTTTTTCTTTTTACCCGACCTGAATTAAAACAAAAAAAAACTGATCGAACTCGAAATTTCGGGCTCATTAACGGGCCTTAAAATCTATAACTCGACTCGGATCGAAAAAACTCGAAACAATTAGCTTTAATATAAAAATAATATAATATATGAATGTAAATTTATAAATATTTCCTAATATATGATTATAATCACGGTGGATAAAAAACGATTTAGTGACTTTTAGTGACTACAAATATGTTAAATTTGTTTAGCGTAATGATCATGAAAATATATTCCTAGCAACTCTAGTCACATTTTTATCTATAAATTTTACTTAGTAATAGTTTTAAAAAACATATATTATTTATTTATATGCATCTTAAATAAAATATTAAGATAATTATGTTCTTTGGATTTGAATTGTTGGTGATTTTGGAGACTAATATTTGTGTTATTATTTGCAGTTTGTATTTTTGATTAATTTTATCTGAGAATAGGTGTTAAAATATAAAAGAACCAATGAGATATTTCATGTTTGGGCTTTAATCAGTCCAACCCGAACCCGGGCTACCAAAAAACCAACTCGGACCGAATATAATGGGCTTTGTTTTGGTCCCTAATTTTCATAACCTAACATCTTCCGGGTAATTTCCGGATTTAGCAAAAACCCGACCCAGACTGGACCGATCCCACCCCTAGAAATTGCAATGGGTATTTGGGGGTTATGGGGATATGTTTACAGTTTACCTAATGCGTAGTAATAAATATCTAAAAGTTTGAATCATTTATTAAAGAACCAAGAAGCAGCAGCTCTCGTATATCGTACACCTAGGTGTGTGTAAATTTGTTTAAGTTTCTCTTCAGTCAGTTTATTGCTTTGTTTCTTTTGTTCTCTTCCGCCGTTTCTTACGTCTTTCCTTCCCTTTAATTATGTGTTGCACTACTTCTTCCGTTTTTTCTTCTCGTTTTTCCTTTTCTCTTTTTTATTTTGAATTTTTCTTTTTTCTTTTGATTTTGAACTTTAATTTTTCTAACTTCAACTTTTCTTTTTCTCTTCCTTTTTCATTTTTCTTTTTATATACACTTTACGTCTTCTGCTCCTCTAATTTTGAACTCCTACATCTTTTTTATTTTTAAGTAATTTTTATAAGAATTTATTTCATGCAATTCTTTCAAAAATTCATATCGAATGGCAATTCGATAAAAATATATACTTCTCTCACTCTTATTTCAAAAAGCTTCAACCTTCTAAATAATTATGAGCATAATATTTAAATTAAATGGGCATTGATTAAATTTTAATGCCCAAGCCCAATAAAATTGGTTGGTCTAAAATAAGGAATCAGTTCTTTTTATAATCTACTGATATGAGCATACTGTATACACAAATTGATATTTAAGCATACTCGAGTTTTTAAATGAACTTTTTAAATTTTTCGATGCTTATTTCGTAAATTATTTATGCTCATTTGATATTGGTGTAATGCTCATTTTAAAATGAGCATTACACTAGACAACTTAAATGTCATATCCATACATATTGGTGTAATGCTCATTTTGAACTTTTTGATAATCATTTTACACGTTATGTATTCACATTTAATATTTGAGCATCAAATCATTGCTATTAAGATGAAAATCACGATTTCTGGTGAATGAGCACTAGTGAACTTTTAATGAGCATCAGACCTATTATGTTGAGTATTAGGAGTCTAATATTCAGAATTGTGATCTCTGCTTCATAACTTCTAATTCACTTTCTTTTTGTTATTTTTTTCTTTTATAAAAACTTAATAAATTAAATTTACTATCAACTCCTATAAATTTCAATATGTGAATCTAATGTAAAATAGTACTTTAAAAAAATGCATTGATATGACATTTAGAAAATGAACATAAGATCAATACCAAATGAGCATACGTAACTTATAAAATGTTCATTGATATGAAAATCATAAGGTTTGTTAGTTTGACATAATGACATTTTCATTGAGTATCAAACATTCTCTATTGAGATGAAATTACAGTTTCTGTTAAATGAGCATTAATGAACTTTTAATTTGAATCAGACCTATTATGAGCACTAAAACACTTTCAATGAGCATCAGACTTATTCAGTTGGGTATTATGAATTTAACAATGTGAACCCAATGTCATTTGCAACTTTTAAAATTTGCATGAACATGACATTTTAAAAATGAGCATAATATGAGTACAAATTGAACAAACATAACTTACAAAATGAGTATTGATATGAAAATCATAAGTTTTTTAGTTGAACATTAACATATTTTTATTGAGCATCAAACTTCCTTTATTGAGTATTGAAAACATGCAATTGAGTTTCATGGTCTATGCTCCTATATCTATAATCAACTCCTACATGACTCTAAAAAATAAACTGAAACATTTAATAATATTTTATATTATACATTTTTATAATAATTGAATATGACATTAAAGTAGAAGGCGTCTACAAAAACAAAACAAAAAAAGAAAGAAATGAGAACAAAAAAAACAGGAGAATAAAAAAGAAAAAGTATTAAAAAAGAGAACATAAGGAAAAGAAGAGAACGTATAAAGAGAACGTATGAAAGCACAACGTTTCTCCTCTTTTTTTTTCTTTTCCATACGTTTCTCCTCTTTATCTTTTTTTTCTTCCATAAATGTTGCTGGCCAACAAACTGGTCTCTTTGATCTAAATGTGGCCCCCTTGAAGAAGAAGATTCTGCTGGACAAAAAAGAAACAGTGTTCAGCCAATAATAGATCTAACTGCAGACCTTCTTGAAGAAGAAGAAGAAGATCCGGATGGTGAACCTGCACAAGAGAACACAAATAGTGTTGAGCCAATAATATATCTAACAGTGGACCCCACTGGGGGGTTTGTGGTACAAAGCAGTGGAGCAGTAAAAAAATGTCCTAGGCTGAGTTTTGAAAATCGTACGAAGTTGGTTGCGAGTTTACTGGCCGGTTCAGTTGAAGGTAAACTTCAGAGGGGTGTAATAACAACATTAACCACCCAATTTAAAGTATCAACTCGGACAATTCACAATTTCTGGACTCAAGCAAAGCAGGATATTGCCACGGCACATGCCATACATGTGGATAACAGATTGAAGGGAAATGTTGGCAGAAAAAGAATTTCTTTTGATATGCAAAACATTGTCCAGATTCCCTTACATCAGAGGAAAAATCAGATATCACTGGCATTTGTTATGCAAGCCTAAAAAACAACAGTGCACAGGTGGTTTAAGACAAAGCAGATAAGGAGACATTCAAGCGCAATCAAGCCTCTTCTAACATAAGCATGTAAATTGAAAAGGTTACACTTTTGTTTGAGTCAAATCAGTCCTCAATCAGTACACACAAGTCCAACATTTCATGATTTCTATGACTGTGTTCACATAGATGAAAAGTGGTTTTATTTGTCAAAAGAGACAACAAGTTTTTACACCCTTCCCACGGAAAATGATCCATTTAGAACAACTCAATCTAAGAAATTTTTTGCCCAAAATAATGTTTCTGACTGCAGTAGGAAGGCCTAGAATTGCCGACAGTGGGGAGGTGGAGTGGGATGGGGAAATAGGGATTTTTCCATTCACATATGAAGACACAACTAAGAGATCAAGCAAAAACAGGCCAGCTGGGACTTTAGAAACCAAACCAACATTGAGTGTCACTAGGCAAGTTATGAGAGACATGTTCATAAACACCCTACTACCAGCAATCAAAGCCAAGTGGCCACACTCATCAAACAGAAAGGTCATAATATAACAAGATAATGCCAAGCCACACATAGAAATACATGATGCAGAGTTTCTGAAATCAGGATCACAGGATGGATGGAACATCCAACTACAATCTCAACCTCCCAACAGTCCAGATTTATATGTATTGGACCTTGGTTTCTTTAGGGCTATTGATATTATAAAGGATAAAAAAGCCCCAAAGAACATAATGGATTTAAGACATGCAGTTCAAGCCTTATATGATGAGCTGACACCACAAACTCTGAACAAAGTATTTTTGAGCTATCAATATGTCATGCAAGAAATACTACATCACAGAGGAGAGAATAATTTCAAGCTACCACATGTGGGCAAGGACAAGTTGCAAAGACAGGGAATGCTACCAAGAAATGTCCAGATATCCACTGAGTTGTATCAAACAGCTAAGACTTTCATGGATGGATAGATGGCAACAAATTCCACAAATCCAACTCAAGGGGCTCAGTTCATACATGAAGATGCACAACATCTTCAAGTATGAAGTAACTACCCTTTGTGGTTTACTTTTATAATGTTTTGTAAGTACACACAGGTTTGTAATGACTAGGTGGGGTATTGTTTTCGTATGTACTATGACGGGCAGTAGAGTACAATGTTTTGATGTATCCCCACTACTAGTGTACAATAATTTAGCTACACAGAAGCAATATAAGCATATGGCATATTTTGATGTACACTTGTTTACATATACACTTCACATTAATCATAGATACATCAAAGAAGTCTCACAGGTTTATTAGTATAGGCAAACCACAATTCACATGCATGAAATACATCACAGGTTTATTAGCATAGGCAAACCACAATTAATCATGATCATAGGTTACAAGTCCTATGCTACCACACCTCAAATTAATTAAAACTCATCATGGGTGACTTATAGCATAGGCAAACACTCATAATCATGAAGACAGGTTACAAATCCTAGGCTAGCAGACCTCAGATGTAATCACACTCATCACAGGTAACTCATCATAGGCAAACCAACATATTAATCATGAACACAGTTTACATATCCAAGGCTAATAGACCTCAAATTAATCATAGGTTAATCACAGGTTTATTAGCATAGGCAAACCACAGTTCACATGCACGAAATACATCACAGGTTTATTAGCATAGGCAAACCACAATTAATCATGATCATAGGTTACAAGTTCTATGCTACCACACCTTAAAATAATCAAAAGTCATCATGGGTGACTCATAGCATAGGCAAACACTCATCATAGGTGAATCAGTGTTCGTAACACACATGCGATCCACATATCAATAATTCACAACCCTAAAATCATCATCGGTCACACAACAATCCAAACCGGCCACTCACAAAAAATGCAAAGCCAAGACAACTTAAAAGACAGAACGATAAAGGGTTTAGAACGCTACTGCCCTTAAGGAATCCGTTCGTTGCAGTCGTCTTCCCCACCGCCGTCGTCGCTCTCTTCTCCTTCATCCGCTGTCGGGCCCGAGTTCACTTCCTCACCATCTTCAGAATCCAGGCCGTCCAAATCTTCGTAGGTATCCGAGACCAAGTTAGATCCGTATTTCTTACGCAATCTCCAGTTCGGATCAGTTTCAGATGAGGATGCGTAATTAGAACGAACAAAGATCGGTCTCCATGGAACTGCTTCTTCCTTTGCAGTTGCATGTGAAGGTTTAGATTCTGAGGGTTTAACATCAGTCGGATCTGTCGATTTAAGAAGCCCGACCGACGGATTAGGGGTTTCGGGGGGTGATGGTTTCCGATCCATGCCGATAATGGAGGTTTGGAGGTGAGTACAACGACGGGTAATGATGGGGGTGAGTAGAACGACGAGTGACGGTGGAAATGGGAGAAGGTGGTTGCAGGCGTGGAGGAAATGGAAGTCAGATAGACAGAGGTGAGAGGTAAGGTTCGAGAGAAAGACAGAGAGATGGAAGGGGTAGTGCGAATGAAATTGGGTAAGGAGGGGGGAGAGAGAGTGCGAATGAAATGATGGTAGGGGGAGATGGGGTAAATTGAATAAGGTTAGTTGGGGGTAGTTTAGACATTTTAACTCAAAATATTTCCTAATATGGAAGTATGAAGATGCATTTGGACCTGCCATTTAAGGAAAGTGTCAAATTCATTTGGGACCGGAGGGAGTAAAAAATAGTACTCCCTCCGTCCCGGAAAATTGTTCCCGCATTGACTTGGAACGGAGTTTAAGAGAGTGGGAATAAAGTGAAAATGTATGGTTGTAGTTGAGTAAGAAAAAAGTAAATGAATTGTAGCCACAAAAAACTTTCCAAAAGGGGAAAGTGGAACAATTTTTCGGGATGACCCAAAAAGGAAACCGGGAACAATTTTCCGGGACGGAGGGAGTATGTTTTTAGTTTTTCTAGCCCAATTTTTTAAATTAAAAATAATATCTAACATAAATATTTACTAACTTAGGTTTGTATCTCACTCTCTCTACATTTGCATACGAGACACATAATTTTGAATAATTCTTTTTCTGTTTTGTTTTAAATTTTAATTTATTCTTTTGCTAAACTTAAATTAAAATCTAATACTCCGCAACTTTTAGTTTTTTATGCGATAGATAACTTGTTGTGAACATTAGTTAACTTTTAAAATGTTAATATTTTGGTGTATGATACTTTAGAAATGCTAATATATTTTAATTATAAATAATGATTGTTTTGTGTAATACACTTTTCTTAGTTTGGGACGCCCCGAACCGTTCCGAATTATCCCGGTCCTGATTTAAATGGGACAAGGCTAGGACAAAGGCGTGTCCCATCCCGTACCGTTATTACTAATTGGGTCGGGACCGGGATAACCCTAATCCAGGACCGTCCCAACCCGTGCCCACCCCTATCCGGATTTTACGTAATTTCCGGATTTGGACCATCGCGGTCTACAATTCGGGTCAAGCGGGTCAGCAAGTTTTATCTGATTCGGCCACATTTGTGGGTTGGGGTCCGACACTCGGACCGGACCAAATTGGGCTCCGGGTGACCGGGTCGACCCGTCTGGTCCAGTTTGGTTCTCATAACATAGAATCCAAACACTATTTTCAGCTTTTTCTAAGCTAAAAGTAACAAAGTGTCTTTTTAGCATCTGCAAACACTCCTTAAGAAGTAAATTGTTGGCCTATATTTGTTCCGGGGACCAGGACCGAACGTGGCACGTAGTCAGCCCGAGTTGTTTGCTTGTTTATATCTAATTTATTTAAATTTGATCTTATCTAATCTGCTTAGAATTAAAATGAGTTCAATTAAAAACACCCCAACAATTACACTAGGCGGATTTTGATAAGTAATTGGCGATCCAATTGCAAAATAAGAAACCAAATACTATCGTATTTAGAGCCCATTTGGTAGCACGAAAATCGACTGCTTTAACTAATTCTGCTTTAAGTAATTTATGAAGTTCTGGTTGAAGTGGCTGCATTGGCTGATTCTGCTGATTTAAGAAAAAATATTTTTAAAATATATTTTATTAATAAATTAAAGAAAAAATTATATGTAAAAATAGCTAAAATAGTCATTCAAAGTAACTTCAGCCAATACAGCCAGAAAAGTAACTCCAACCTTACTTTTTCTGCTTATTACACAATTCAGCGCGCGAAAGTAAAAGTTACGTGTTTGGTGAAAAAGTTGGCTGATAAGCTGAAAAACCGGGTTGCCAAACGGCCTCTTAATTTAGCAGGTTTTATCATGATTGTAATGTGCTTTGAAGTTTGAATTGAGGATGTATTTTAGGAGATTTTAGTGCTGGCTCTGCTCCAGTTCAATAAATACAGAAGATTTTGGATTGCCACCCATTACATTTGGTGTGTCCAAAACAAAAATACATTCTGCAGGGGAGGTCCACTAGCTTATAAGCATTGCATATTCTTCTCTTCATTCCCTAGGAGTGTGATATGATATTTCCAGTGCATGAGACATGCTAGGGGGTGCCTCCCACAAAGTACCTCAAAGTTTGGAAGTAATAGACGGGGATCGTTGGGTTAGGGCAATTGCCGCCTTAGAGCCCAAAGGTCGCCCCAAATGCTTGCAGATGAATTCTCCAGCAAGCAAAAGCTTCGAGATATCTACAAATGTTTTCACTCCCATCCCATTGAGCATATACACAACATCTTCAGTTGCCACATTTCCTGATGCGCCTTTGGCATATGGACACCCCCCTAGTCCTGATACAGATGAGTCCACTGTGCTGATTCCCATCTGTCAACATAGCCACCACCGTTCCAATTAACTTCAGTGTTTCAGCCCCTTTAGATCCCGGGGAAAGATATGAAAGAAAAACAACAAACATAGAAGAAAATTGGAAGGAAACAGCATAGAGGAAGACAATAAAAGATAGTCTGAAACTAAAAAATGTAAATTTGGCAGAAACTTGTTTCACTTGAGGGGAAGTTGGACTTTGCACCCCATTTTTCATGCAAATTTGATTTCGTACCCCATTTTCAAAATCATTGATATTTGTGCTAAGTTCAAAGGAAGTGCTAAAAATGGGATGTAAACTCCAATATAGAGTGCAAACCGCTAAGAGAAGGGTGTAAACTTTAAGTTTTAGGGTGCAATCTCAAATTTGAATCAAATGTTGGGATGCAATCTCCAATCCTCCCTATATCTATTGATGTCTATTATTTAAGAAATCTAAGCATATGAGATTTTCAAAACAGAAAAAAACTAAGAATATTTCAAGGTCCTTTTCATTTTCTACTGTAAAACCAAACATAATAAATCATTTTCAATGCTATTTTTTCCATCCCTTGCTTTCTAGGAGATCCAAACATACCCCTAAGAACTGGGACATTCAACAAAATCCATGATGAAATTTGAGGTCTGAACATAAAACTAGACTACCAATCTGGTATGTTAATGTGTTCGGAAAATTGAACATCTATATCGAACCAAAAATGCCAACCCAACTTCATATTCCTTATCGCAGTTACCTTTCATGTCCGAAAAACTTTTAAATTAACATAGGTTTATTTGTTTCCATAAATAAAATATTCACTGTGGCCAGATCAAGGATAAAATCCTCAATTCAGATCACTAAGCTGTGAATTTCAGACCATCCTTTGTTCATAAGCTAATATATAACAACCGTTGGTAGTTCCCCCCAATGACTGCATGGTTCCAACCATTTATTACTTCACACAAATTGGTATCCCACAAATAGCCACTTACCTGTAAGGACACAAGAATGTTAGACAGGGCTTGGCCATATGTGTCATGAAAATGGACAGCAAGCTTCTCCACAGGAACAACTTCACAAACAGCATCTAGCATTGGAACAACCGTACCTGAGCAAAGTAGTTGCAGATCAAAAGTTGTAAAAAGACCTATGAACGAAAAGTAATCAAAACGGAAATGATAGGCGTCAACGTGTTCAATTCTTATCCCACTGTGAAACCACTTAGCACATTAAAAAGATTTAGAACCCTTGCAATGATATTTAGTGCCTCTACTGGAAGATCAAGTGCTAGAATTGACAAAATTCGTTATTAGTTTTGTACGTTTGCCCATTCCACTTCCCAAAAAAAATCAGCTTACAATGAAAATGGCATAGAGAAAGACCAGTCTATCACTACCTGGAGTGCCAACCCCAATTGTATCACCAAGGGATATTTCATAGCAACCCATATCTAGAAGTTGTTTAGCAACATAGGCAACTTTGGAAGGAGATATTGATCCTTCCACTGGACAGCCCACGACACATGACACATATCTGGTAAAAGAAGTATATATACACGTTTAACCAAAACATAAAGAAATTTGTGTGTCCATCTACCGTTTTTAAAAATTAATAAATCAATACCTGGAGAACCAAGAAAGTTCAAAGATGATGCAACTTTAAAACAAGAATTTGTAAACATGTGAGAAGGCATACCCACGAACTGGAATGGAATGATTTTTGGCTGCGTGGGCAATATCACGATATTTGGCGAGACTCTCTTCAATGCTACAATTTATATTTGACCGAGAAAATGACTCAGATGCAGCAGCAAATACTGCAACTTCTTGGGCCCCACTTGAAACAGCAGCATCAAAACCCTCAACAACGACACATTTATAAATTAGTACACCAAGGTTCAATATTTGACATGTAATGTTAACAATCTGTAACACCAGATTATCAAATAATAATAATAATAGATCCAGTAGTTGTACTAGTAGTAGTAATAGCAGTAATAAAAATATTATTTATTATCACCACCCTATATCGTGAAAAAAATATTAGTATTAGTAGTGGTGGCAGTGTAGTATCCCTTCTTATGAAGTTGATATGGGAATGGCATCCTACATAGCATTGCCAATGCTTAATGCATGAATTCATAGTCTTAATTACACTAGAAGTTTAATGTCAGAGCCCCCAACAAGTTGGGATGAAGGTGATGATAATGATGACGATGATGAGTAGTGGTTGTGTTGGTAGTAGACTAGTAGTCATAGCAGTAATAGTAACTATGATTATGATGATAAGCCTTATTCCTAGCATAGCCCCTCCATATGAGAAACTCACTTTCATATTTGGTGTTAATACTGGAAATCGCACTCCTTCAATACTTTGAATTGCTTCAATTACTTCCCTTGCATCAGCAAGCTGTAGATTAAGAAAAGTTTTCAAATTAAAGGAACAAAATACACCAAACTCCTCACTAACACAACTAATTAAGGGAAGCAAAATGCACCACTCTCTTCACTAACGTAACTTTAGGAAATCCTTGACAGTACATAACAATAATGGTTATTTAAAAATATGGGGTAGCTAATTTATCGAACAATAGCCTTAATCACACTCAAATGAAATGCTAACATATAATCACATACAAGTACTCCTACATGTTCTCATCTAACCTGTTATCATAGCAAAAAGTTAAAATGTAAACAAAAAGAGAGTAAGGAAACTCCATACCTGCGGTACCCACTTTGGCGACACAAAACTTGTAGCTTCAACAACTGACAGCCCAGCAGAAACAAGCATTTTTATTAGTTCAACCTTCACACTTGTAGGTATGATATTTTTTTCATTTTGCAAGCCATCTCTTGGACCCACCTCTACTATTCTAACAATCCCAGGCATACATCCCAGTACCTAATTGATTCAAAACCAATTATAAGTGGAAATGGGAAAAAATAAATGGGCCCTGAAACCTACAGATTACATGTTTTACTGTTTTAGTGAGTTGAAAGAATGAAAGTACCTTGTTTGGGCCATTGCTGGGATATGATTGGGTGCCATAACAGTGGCGTAACATATGAAAAGAATCATGCGCTGCTCCAGGCACATCAGGTTTTTGGTTGAAGGCAGGATTTAGTGAATATCTGTTTGTTTGTCTTTGCCATATATATGATCCTGCCTTGCCCTCCTTCCTGTTAAGATATACTTTGTTTTGCTTCCATGTACACAGTCCAGAACAAAAGACAAAAAATACTTCATCAAATGATGAGTACTCCTTTATTTGAAGAGCAAAAAGGACCGATAAACAGTACATGATCCACCAAAAGAACTAGGTGATTCGTTAACGTCGACTTAACTGTCATTCCAAGACTGGCGTATAAGATAAGATTGCATAAAATTGCTTGTAAATGACTTTCAATAAATAAGAGATGAAACGTTAATGCCCATGATAGGATTATGCAAATCTACAAACAAGCTTCTCGTGACTTTCAATAATAATAAAAAAAATGCAATAGAATATACGATGTGAATATCAATAGAATGAGTGTCCTTACTTCATATGGCTTAAATGAAAATGTTTCTTTCTCTGGTTCACCCTTGGTACTCTGGAGTTCCATTTCAGGCACAGTGTAATAATCAAGCACACGGTAGGCACAAGATCTTCTCCACCTGGAAAGCTTTCTAGCAGTCTGGTGTGCTAACATTGGATCACACTTAAATGTGTGGAAGCAAACACATCAAGGATACAGTTTTGCTCCAGATGTTTATCTGCCAAAAAATGGCCACAAATTATCAGGGCAGCAGCATAACAATGACAAAATAATGATTATTCAAAGGAATCAGCAATCATTTGAGCATAAAGCCCCACTGCAGATGGACATGGCCTGAACTCCAACAAGTTATTGAGCCTACAAAGGTATGGTCATCATTTCTAGCTAGCTAAATTCATCAGGAAAGATTCTTCTGCATGTTAGTTCTCACGGTAGAGACGGAAGTTCACCCCGCTATAAAAGAAGCAACAAGCATTAAGGGGTCAGCTGGCCAGGGGTGGCAGTGAGCCAGTTCCCATTCCAGAGCGGTCGCTTCTGGAGCTATCGTAGGGGGTAACCAGAACATATTGGTCGGTTTTGGTCTTACTCCGGACTAAAATAAGCACAGTTGCATGCCCTGGGTCAGTTATAGGATGACCTATCAATGAGGCTCCATCGCAACGAAAAGCTTAAGCCATTAGCTGGACTTCATATTCAGTCATTGATATTATTACATCCAAGACACGTCCTCACATGCGTGGACCGACATTCTTTGATGTGCCAAACAAAGACTATGGGCAAACTTATTTATAATTTCGAGTGGGGGAGAAGTTTCAAATACAACACGTGACCATCAAAATGCAACCCGCTTCATCTATTATTTACTATGACAGCGCAACAGATTTTATCTCCTTAACGAAAAAGCTCGTCATGCATTTGTCACACCTAGGAAAAGCTTGCTGCAAATGACGGGTGGGAAGCTGGCTGCCGTGCTCTTTCCACATTCCCTCACTTTGTTCGACTTCTTACTAAAACCGACCGGAATCAGGACTCTGATTTTAATAACATGGGAAAATATCTGACCAAAAAATAAGAAGGGAATAAAACAATGTATATAACATTGAAAGAAAAACAGCTCATTTATCTGAAAAGAAGAAGACCTGCTAACACTACATGATCTATGAAGAGAACTAGCTAACAACAATTTCAGCTGGGATTCTAAGACCTGCCCCTGTTATCTATAAAATAAGAGTGCATAAATAAGATTGTAACTGACTTGAAACAAATAAGAGATGACTTCAAAGTCCAAAGTAATGCCCTTGACACGATTATCCACATAAACCAGCTTCTCACGGCCTTGCAACACGAGTATGTGATGGTAAAATTGAGCTTAGATTCCTTAGTTCGCATATATTTATAGAGAATTAGCAACCCTAATTCAGTTCTTCTTTATATAAAAAAAGACCTAACTACGTTACTCACAGAGCCGATTTCGAATGAGAATCAGGAAGAACAAAACATTGTACTAGGTAGCAACTTCAAACCCGCAGCAGAAGCCGAGCAGCGAGCAAAAAGGTGAAGAGGCAAAAAAAAATTTGGACCATTTCTCGATTTGTGCGTGTCATCCTTGCGCAGGGGCCATGCTAATCTTCTCTGTATCGTTCCAATTTTATCGGATGTCCCCGAAGGGACACACTGCTCTCAGAGTCCTCCGTATATGTAGTTTGCAGTAGCTGCTTCGGCTACCGGTGTGGGAGAAGGAGATGTACTGAATATGTAAAGGACTAAAGAAAGGGACGATCCTTAGTTAACTTTAGCCGTCTAAATAAAGGCCCAGAGAGTTCCGGCCCAGCACATTAAGCCCGCTGGTAGTAATGGACTTTAACTTCTCTAATCTTCTTAAAAAATGTTCTCTTTTGTCTGCACTCTAAATTTAATAACTTATACCTTTATCTTATTTTTTCTCAAAAAAGAAAATGTTTTCTATTTTGTTTTCTTTTGGGGAAAATAATGAAAATGCACCAAAATTTGAATGGGTGTGAGATAAACACCCCAAACTTGTACATGTAATTTCAATACCTTGAACCTTACATAAGGAGTTATGTTAGCACCATGAACATATCATTTTCACCATAAAATATATGACCATAAATTTTAAATTTATATGGTATATCTAATATGGTGCTAAAATAACTCTTTATATAAAGTTTGTGATATTTAAATTACACCTGCAAGTTTGGGATATTTACCTCACACCCCTTCAAAGTTTCGGATATTTGAATTATTTTTCTCATTTCTTTTTTCTGCATTTAATCAACTTTAGGGTTTCTTTTACAAGAATTAATATTACTAAATATAATTCATTGACAAAAATGAAATCACTTTTTGAGTTTTCAAAAATAGGACTAAATAAGTGGTGTTAATAGATCTGGATCGGGCAGGTCAACCCGAAACCCGAGAGTCTACCCGGACCCCGGTGAGCCGTTTGAACCCGTAATGAACCCGGACGTCTCATCACCCGGTAAAAATGAAAAACCATGTGAAACCCTCACATTTTAAAATTAAGAACTCTATTTTCGAGGAGCGGCTTCGTCGGTTTCTCGTGTCATCTTCCAAACTATGCAGCTATTAGGGCCGGACCTAGGGGGTGCAAGGGGCCGGGTGCCCTAGGCCCCCAAAAATGGGTAAAAAATAGGCCCAAGTTTAGTTCTTTATAATAGGTGTGCGTAGGCTAATTTTTCAGCCCTAAACTAACAATTTTTTCGGGTGAAATTCGCTGAAGTTTTTCAGAATGGATTTTTTCGGGTGAAAATTTATGATCATGTTGTCTATGAAGTGTAAAGTTAAATAAATTACTGAAAAAACGCTGCATTTTTATACATATTTTGCGCATTGTTGTTCAGTAATTTATTTAAATGACTTCACGATTGAATTTTAAACTGAAATTTTGTGGACATAATCCACACTTGATAAAAAAAAACATTCTCTTATAACCTCATAAAAAAATTATGTTCCAAAGCAGATTAGTCTGATATGATTGTTGGATTAGTTTATTAATTGATTACATTCATAGTTGATTGTTTAATTTCTTAATTGTTGATTGTTTTTTATGAGTGTTGGTGTTATAACTTGTTGATTTTGTTAGACATACATTTCCAATTATGATAAATTTATAAATTTTATTTATTCCAAGGTGTAATAAAAAGAAGTGAATCTGAATACGATAAATAAAAAAGAGGAGAAGGTTAGAGAAAGTGGTGCTAAGTAAATAAGTTCAATAGAAAAATTTGTTTGTGTAAAGAAGTCAAATAATGAATACCCTCTTCAAGATGAGAACTCATTGAAGAACAATAATTTTTGCTACCAAAAATGAAATGATTCAGGATGATTACATCATTGGAGCGGGGGAATTTAGGATGTGATGATAGAGTTAATTTCTTAAATATGACTTAAACATGGGTAAAATGTACAAATAGGATCACTATTGTTTCCTTCCTAAATAATCATCACCAATACTATAATATGATCGGTTTAGATAGAATGGGGTTTTACAATTTTTATAAATGTTTTAAATAATTATTATTATTATTATTAACATTATTATTATTATGCATGTCAGTTTAGCTAGAAAAGAGTTTTACAATTTTTTGTAACATTAGACCCATTTTAATTTTCCGCCCCTAGGCCTTCGAACATACATGGCCGCCCCTGGCAGCTATGTTCATCGTAATTTCATCTTTATTAACAAATAACAATCCATTGTCTCCATCACACCAAATTAAAGCTTCTCCAAAAACTTCATCAATCATCACTAAGCTTCTCCATGATATATAGCTTACTCGTTTCTTTCAAATTGTATGAACAAGTCGTGAGCTTAAATTGGATTTGTGAGGCTCGATGAGATTGAAAACTGCAACCATGAATTGGATTTTTTCACACAAGGATTCCCAACATAAGTAGCACAAGTAGGTTTTGAGGTTTAATACTTCGAATAAAGTAGAACTTTTGACACACGAATTCGATCATCTCCTATAATAAATACCTGTAGCATTAGTTTTATCAATAATGGTTGATGTTCACCCTGAGTTACACCTAGGGCTGGTCCTATGTAAATAGAGGATCTGTTCAATAGAATCTATTTGACCTTTCTAATACAAGTCCAAGTAAAAAAAATATTATAATAAACCATTATGTAGTAATATAAAATCTTATAAACTCCGATAGGAGTAAGGGAATATTAATTATGAGAAATGTGTCGTGTGAATTAAAGCAACCAGTAGTTGTACATGAACTTTTAATAATTGTACATCATATATCTATCCCATTGTAGCCATCTATGTTCTGTTAAAGTTAGTCTCGGTAATCATCTATGTAACACCGGACCCGAATTTTATCCATATATATTTTTTCCTTTTCATAAAGTACAGAGTTAAAGAAAGTAAATCAAGACTAAGAATAGTCTTGTTTACCTTTGGGGGACCCTACCTTGAAGATATTTATGTATAAGAATAAACCTATAAGATTTTATCTGTTCATACACATCAGACCACTTAAAAAGAAGTGTAACATTTTTTTAAAAGTATCACAAAATATGAAACCTCATTTTTAGTCATGAGAAATGATGAATGAATTTTTGAGGCAACATGTTCTCATTTTTACTGTTAATTACTTAAACAGTGAAATGCACGTTGGGCCCACTCGTGGGCGGTAACCATTTGATATCTACGGATCACGTATATTATTCATCTTGGTCTAGATAATATTTATATGATGGTGTAAATTAAGGTTGAGACATAAAGTTGGCCTTTCAATTTAAACGAGGTCGCATTATCGGTATAGGTAATTTATCAAATAACAACCCGAAATAAATTCCGGGGACCACTAAATTAAATTTGGGTAATATATATTTATTTTAGAGGCCAATATTAATTGGAAGAATGATATATATTTTACTTAACCCAATAAAATAAAATATAATTAAAACAGTCCAGAAAATACAACTTTCAGGGGCGAATGTACACTTCAGGACATATTGGGATGACCTCCCACATGAGTGGGGGCCAACCCACGATTTTGAATCTAAAAATAAGTGTTGTGATTATGAGAGTGAGGTGTTTGATGTGTGAGGGGATGGGAGAGACACACATGATAGGTAAAGGGACCCTCCTCCCATTGTTATGACATGTAAGACCAAAGAGGAAGGTCTCGTCCACCCCCCCCCCCTACCCACTTCGGTCA